GCAGCTGAAGCTGGTCATTTTTGTAATTCTAATAGTCATCGCGCAATCAATCGCTCGTAACATATTAACTTATGCAAATCGACATCAATAAACATATCAGACGAGGAGAGTAAATTGAAAGAAAAACCCGAATGATCTGTGCGTCGTATAAAGGAGACATTAGCCAGATTTGTGAGATTTTCACGATTTATGGGATTGTGTTAATAGGCGCACGATTGCCGGTCCCAATAAATTATAACAAATTGGCTGTAAATCAATTAAAGATAATTATCACAATGCAAGGCTGCAGCTCACAAAGCGGCAATTAAAGCTTCGCTTTGGGTCATTGGAAGATTGTCAAGCTAATTTGTGTGTCCATTGGTTTCAGGTGGCGAACGCCAACCAGAAACGGGCGCGAACGCGCATTACCGACGAACAGCTGAAAATCCTGCGGGCCCACTTCGACATCAACAACTCGCCCTCAGAGGACCAGATCCATGAAATGGCGAATCGCAGTGGGCTGCCGCCCAAGGTCATCAAACACTGGTTCAGAAACACGCTCTTCAAGGAGCGCCAACGAAACAAAGACAGCCCCTACAACTTCAACAATCCACCCTCGACCACGCTCAATTTGGAGGAGTACGAGAAGACCGGCGAGGCCAAAGTGGTGCAACTGAACAGCTCGTCGAGCAGCGGTGCCGACGAGGCAAACAAGAGCAAGGAGTCGCCAGTCGCGCCAACGATGGCCCAAGTTGCAGAGGTCAAAACGGAAATCAAAGAGGAACCGCTCGAAGAGCCCAAGTTCGAGATGCAAAAGCCCAGCGAGGTGATGGAGGAGAGGATGCAGAACTACTTCGGGCTTCCGACCAACTTCCAGCCGCCTCAAAGTCCCGCCACTTCAGTGGCTTCCACCGAGAGTCTCAATGTGTCCTCGCAGCCCGCTACCCCAAACAACATCACCCTCACCTCAATTATCGCCTCGCAGTTGAGCGACACTCTCACCAGCAGCACTTCGACACTCAACTTGGCCCCGCACGGGTTGGGCAGCAGCAACATGCTGCCGCCCCCAAAGGTCAACCAGCAAACGTTCTCCAATCCAGGCCTGCAGGGGATGCTGCCGCTCACATCCAGCAGATGTCTGAGCCCCAGCCGCGACTACAGCAACTCGGGCAGTCAAGGCTCGGGCGGCTCAACAGGAAAAAGGGCGAATCGCACCCGGTTCACCGACTACCAAATCAAGGTTTTGCAGGAGTTCTTCGAGAACAACGCCTACCCCAAGGACGACGACTTGGAGTATCTGTCCAAGCTGCTGCAGCTCAGTCCCCGCGTGATCGTCGTGTGGTTTCAGAACGCTCGCCAGAAGGCCCGCAAAGTCTACGAAAACCAACCGGCCGTCGAAACGTCGCCTGGCATAGATGAGAGCGGCGCCAATCGGTTCCAGAGAACACCCGGATTGAACTACCAGTGCAAAAAGTGCATGTTAGTGTTCCAACGGTACTACGAGCTGATCAGGCATCAGAAGACGCACTGCTTTAAAGAGGAGGACGCGAAGCGGAGCGCCCAGGCTCAGGCGGCTGCCGCACAGATGGCAGCCTCCTTCAGCTCAGAAGACTCGAACTCGAGCACGGCCGTGGAGCAGAACCAGGCAGCGCAAGGCCAGCCGCAGAACTTGATGAGCAATCAGAGCCCGGGGCCCAGCAGCCCACTCAACTCCAGCCAGGGCAACTTTGCGAGCTCGTCTCCCACGCCGTCTGAGCCCAAGGAGGGCAGCTTCCAATGCGGAACCTGCAACCAGGTGTTTCCGCGCTTCGAGCAGTTCAAAGAGCACGAGCTGGTCCACTTCATGAACCCAAACTTGTTTCCCATCTATGCGCCCGACAGCCCCTTTGGCATCTTGCAGCAGCAGGCGCATCTGCAGCAGCAGATGAACGCCAGCATGGGCGAGGCCAAGCAGGCGCCGCCCAACTTCCCCAACCCCTTGATCGACATGCTGAACAACGTCACTGGACAGCGCAGGAAGTTCGACGAAATCGCGGACGGCGAAAGCGACACCTCAGATCAGCCGAAAGACAAGCGGCTCAGAACCACCATTTTGCCCGACCAGCTGGAATACCTATACAAAAAGTACCAGTGCGAGAGCAACCCGTCCAGGAAGATGCTGGAGAACATCGCCAGAGACGTGGGGCTGAAGAAGCGGGTGGTTCAGGTGTGGTTCCAAAACACTCGGGCCCGCGAACGGAAGGGCCAGTTCCGCGCCCACTCCCAAGTGATCAACAAGCGATGCCCGATTTGCCACGCCCTGTTCAAGGTGAAGAGCGCCTTCGAGTCCCATCTGACCAGCAAACATCCGGAACATTGCGCCCGGGGGGAAATCAACATTGACGCCCTGCCCGATGAGGAGATCAGTTTGGAGAGCGCCCCCAGCCTGTCGGGGGGCAGCGACACCAAGTTCCAGCCGCAGCAGCCGCCGGCGCACCCCAATCTGGCTCCTGCAGGACATTCGGCGCGGAACAAGCCCAGCGCCACCAACTTCGGGCCCTCGTTTTTCGAGGACAAGATGAACCGCTTCTTCAACGAGATCCAAATGCACACGGCCGGCACCAACGGCGAAAAAACCGAGATGAAATCGGAAAAGGCGGAAAGTCGTGAAGCTCCCCTGGATCTGTCCAAACCGGTGGACCTGTCCAGGCCAATGAAAGTGTCCATGGAGCAGGGCGGGTTGTGCGACCCCGGGCCCTTGACTGACCTGAGCGAGCGGTCGCTGTGCGACGAAAGGAGCGACTCCATGTCGGAGACCACTGAGTACATTGATGACGAAAGCAACCCCACTTCGCCCGCCAGCAGCACGCAAAGTCTCAGCCAGCGGCAGATGAGCTCCTGCGGAGGCTCGCAGGGCGGCAACAAGCGCTACCGCACTCAAATGAGCTCAGTGCAAGTGAAGATCATGAAAACTCTGTTCGTCGACTACAAAACGCCGACGATGGCGGAGTGCGAGGGCTTGGGGCGCGAAATCGGCCTGCCGAAGCGCGTGGTGCAGGTTTGGTTCCAAAACGCGCGTGCCAAAGAGAAGAAGGGCAAACTCGCCTTGCACAAGGTTCTCGGACAACCGGACGGCGACAATCCCACCGTGCCCGACGACTGCAGGTTCTGCAGCTTCAAGTACTCGCACAAGTACTCGATTCAGGATCACATCTTCACCAAGACTCACATTGCGAACGTTCGCATGTACTATGAGGCGCAGGCGGCGCAGGCCGGCAAAGACTCGCAGGACGGCAACGAGTTTCAAGTGCCTCAACTGCCCAGCTGCTCGGGCAGCAGCAACACCGACCCGAACAACCCCCAAGGTGCCGGCCAGCAGAACAACAACACCCATCATGCGGACTATTTGCAGCAGGCCGCCAAACAGCAGGAAGACAGTGCAGCTGAGAGCCTGTTCCAACCGTTCTACGCCAGCAACTTTGGCGTGCAGAACCAGTACGTGCACCACGCGATGTTTGGAGCCAACGGTAAGTTTGTTGTTGTGGTACTTTCAGCAATTGCGGTTTCACTGGTTTACTGGCTAAGCGCCCAAGTCGACGGACAAATTTTACCTACAAATCAAATACGGAACCTTTCTTGGAACGGGGCCTTTCATACTGAAATTCCTCTTGTTTTGTCCAAAACGTCCAAACAAAGCAGCTGTTTACATTATGTTGATACTGATTGATAATCCCGCGCAGGTAGGCGAAACCCGAAGCGGACACTGTGTATTCTAGATCTTACCTTCCACCTGGTCTAACTTAGCTAACTTGCGAACAATTGACAGCCCGTTTGGGGCTGTAGGGTAGTTTTTCATCATTAATTCCCTTTGTGTCGTTGCTGCGAATGTTGACGAACTTTTATAAAAATCTTCGTTTATTTCACGCTTGAAACGATCGAAAAATTCGGTCTTGTTGTCAAAAATCAATCATCAATCGGTTTTCCGGTCTTTTTGAGACTTTTGTCTCTCTCGATACAATGGCAGTGATCTTCCATTCGAAGACACTCTTTTGGTTTAAGCCAATAACAATGAAGGGGCTGATGGATTTTTCCAAATTTATTTAATTACCTTTGGTGTGTCCTTACCTGGGGCTCAAAGCTCAGTCTATTGTCCAAAGCATTTGTCACCGCCACAGTTTTCCCGTTATTTCAAAAATGCTAGGCAATATTACGGTTTGATTGACCAGCACGGTGGAGAATCTTCTACATAAAAACAATTTAGACTCAAACCGGTTGCAAACTCGCGCAGTTTTTCCTCGATCTCAAGCCTTTAACAAAACCGCTTGTCTTGATCTCAACCGAACATTTTTCGCCAAAAACACGCGATCCAAAGATTCTTGGCATCAAATGAAGGAAAACGTTTTTCGCACTTTGAGACCATCGTGCAAAAGAATTTCTTCCCGATGTTTCCAAAGCACCAGTGGCTTGCATCCTCAGGCAAAATCAAATGCTTCAGTCGGACTTCCATTGACTTACACCCAAGTTTTTCACAACATTTCAGTTGGTAGCGACTTCAAACGCTGAAAATGGTTGGAGATTCATTAATGCCTGTGAAACACATCTGAGGATGCAAGCTGTTCGTGCTTGCGATGATACGTCAAGAAGAAATTATTTCGCGCAACGTCCAAAAAAATTTCACAAACTGTTTTAATGAAAACTCTGTTGCGCTGTGACAAATTCTGCACTTTTCTCATGCATCTCTACTACTTAAAACCGGAATTGGGTCGAAAATGTGCACATTTACACTTATCTTCAATAGCTTTTTCTAATGCTCTGTATGCGGACCATGAGTCGTACGTTGTACAGTTGTACAGGGAATTGCCTTGAAGATGACCCACAATAACCTCGAAACGCTAGGCCGTTTCTCAATAGTCGCAGCTGTTTACAATTTTTCGCTACTTTTTAGCAGAATCTAATGCAACAACTGCTTAGATTTGCGAACAAACTAACTTTTCCATTGCAACCTCGATTGTCTATGGGGGTTCAAACTCGTCATTAGCACATGCGGTCCCTTTCAGGACTAAAATCAAAAGACACAAAAGCCTCTATTAGTTTAACCTTCGTAAACTTGATCACTTTTAGTTAAGTTGAAAAGCCTTTGAGGCGAAGATTCGCCAGTTAAAATTGGGATTTTGCCACTACCTGAACATGCTTTATTGGCTCAAAACAGTGGCTTGAATGCGTAGACAATGGGGGTTTCATTCGCGCAGATTCTCTAGATGTGTTCACAGAAATCGAATGGTTCAAAATGTTTCAAGCTTGCGACGATCTGCGCGAAGTTTCCAAGCTTCTGCACATTTTTTTAATATTCAATTTGATACGAGGGCGTGTCGTCAATATCGGCCAATTATCGATTCAACAGTGACGCCGGACAGGAGAGAAAAGAATGACCAATACGAAATGCAATTTTAATAAGGCAGGACATGCATATGAGCGAAGCCCATTGTGTTTTATGTTAATTGCAAAAATGTTATTTATTGCCTCGGCCGATCGGCAGTAAAGTACACTGCCAATAATAAAGGACGCCACCCATAACTAATATTTCGCACGGGGGGTTTGGGTTTTTCAGTTTTATTGCGATAAATTGCGTTTTTTTGTGGTTGAACCACCACTCATGGAACCGTAGGAAAGCTTCTCGTGTAAATTAGCTTTCTCAGTAAAATTATTGATTGAATTCGCAACAAATTGATACATTTAATAAACTAAAAGATTTGCGATTGACTGTTTCGAAAATGCACGGAAGTTTGCGGCTAAAATTCAACCAAAAGTGTCTTTTGCATTCAGGTCTATCTTGTTTAAACTTTTACACGGGCGATTATCATAAAAATCTCAAAAATTAGGTATCTATAGGAAACCTTCCATGGGCAATCACATGTTGCATCTGCTCCTGATATACCTACAGGGTGTTTCATTTAAATTAAGCCGTGCTATTACCGTTCAGCACGTTTGCACACATTTTTTTTCCATGTATGGGGGGCTGGTCTATTTTTCATTCGCAAAGGTGGAAGTTGACTTCGAAATTCGTCATTTTTACAAAACACCGAATGTTTGCTAATGAGGTCTCCTGAAATGAAACTGGTGAGTTTTTTGACCCAAACGTTTCTCTAGCACGCAAGACTTGAAGCTTCAGACTTCAGTTCTTCAAGTTTTCGGTCACAAGAAGCGTCAAGGAGGAACATTTACAGTTATCGAAAATCAATCTGTTATCGATTATGCCCTTAATTCCGACAAATTGACTACGGAGTCCCCACTGTTCAGAGCCAGCAAGGTTTTACTGGTACCGGAACCAAACTCGGCGCATTGTTCTATCTTCCAGCCTTAAAGGCTAAGAACAAATGGTGATTTATAGGTAAAATTCCGGCATGGGGTAATTTCAGGGACGCCCGACAATAGCTAGAAAATCGCCGGAAGCGATCTCTTCTCGAAATTGCACCATAAGGAGACCCGATGACCCAATTTTTGTTTAAACACTAATCGGAAAAGCGAAATCTCGATGCACTCAAGTTTAATTGTTTCTGCAACTTTGAGACGCGGTTGTTCAAAACAGGGAGAATCTCCCCTCAACCAGGCCCAAACCTTGCATGTAGCGGTGGCATCAGTCGGAAAAACTGCTTAAAATTCCGGGCATTTTTTTCGTGAAATTTCCCCTGCCTGATCCAATCTGAAAAAAGTAGCAGAGCCGTTATGCCTCCCCCGCACAGCCCGGCCATCCAATGAATAATAAACGAATCGGGCGCCCTCCACTTCCAGGGGGATAGTTAATTATGACGTTTCGGAATGATAAATTACCTGAGTGCGATAAGAACGTGTATAGAAGAAGCATTTTCTCGGGAGAAAAATGAAATCGGCGAGAAAAGCCAGTGGCGGACAACAGCGGACAACAAACAGTCTGGCCGGTTGAAGAAAGATGGACGCGAACCGGTCGCGGTGCGGCTCCAATTCAATAAATCGGCTTTAATAGATCCAAACTACCCGAGCCTTTGAGAAAACACAAATCAAGAAAACAATAAAACGAACAGAAAAATCACAGAGAACGGGCGCGCTTCGACAAGGAGCACTCGCGAGGTGCGGGCGAGCGCGAGAGAGAGGGCACGTGCGAAAAGGGGCGTGGCATTCGCAGATTCATTCTACTTTTGCAATAAAACCAACAAGCATCGGGTTCCTATAGCTACCGCATTACGCCGTGCCATTGGCCGACGATCGTCGATTATAAAAGTTGTACTCTTTAGCGGTGCAATGTTTTTGCCACCGGGTTTCCGATGTAGTCACTTTTTGCCTTCGCTTCGTCGAGGGAATTTCATTTTAAACTTTCCTGCTGCTTCGCCATTTTTAAGTCTCTATTAGAGCGGCCCCAAGTGCTCGCCGTTACCCCAACCAGACCTATTTTTCGGGCTTATTAAATGCAAACTGAACACTAATCGGGCGTCGACTGTTTTGTTTTGTGGAGCTTGAGGGTGTTTCAATCAGTTTTTCTCGGGAAAAATTAACAACGTTATGATCCACCGGGGTCTTTTAAAAGATACTCAAACTGTCCTGGGTATTCACATATAGAAATGATTTTCATGGGAATGTCTTCCTGACGTTTCGTCCACAACTGCGKTGGACATTATCAAAGGCGATGAGGCAGTGGGCGAAGTGATCTCCCGTGCTTTCCGACTAAGACGGAACTGTCTTACGTCACGAACGTCAAACTGCCTCATCGCCTTTGATAATGTCCATCGCAGTTGTGGGCGAAACGTTAGGAAGAAACTCCCATGAAAATCATTTCTATATGTGATTTGAACGGCCGTGAAAGCCTTCATAGTTTGTCTTGGGTATTGTTATACATAACAGCAAACCAACGAATTTTTCATGAAACAATATCATTAAGGCACGATTATGACACTCGGGGAATTGAGGCAAACAATCCGACGACATCGATAAGAAACCGCCAATTTCCAACGCATAATTTTCCAATCTTTTCTTCGCGATATGCCGCTGCTTAATAAACCGCCCGAAACCCACAAAGCAATCGAAACGTCCTATTTATCCGGAAAACGGCCAATTTCCGCCCTTATATCCACGTAGAAATGAGAAATATGAATTAATATTTCATCTCCCCATTGTATTTCCCATATTATGAATTGGTAATGTGGCGAAGTCCTATGCTGGTCCGTTGTTGCCACTTTCGTTGTTTTCGGGGGCTTCCGTCAATTATTGATGAACCACAACGTTTTCTTGAATGCGCCCGGTATGTTCGCCATTGGCGTAGGCCAGACAGTTTTACCTACACGGTTGCTCATTAGTTCGCCCCTTCATTTTTATCTGCAGGGACTCCACTGGTGAATAGCTCTTCCATAGGCTCTAAAAACTACTCGAAAATCCAAGACAAAGTCAACAACAGCCGGCTGGAGAGTAGAGTTAGAGTTTTACTGGCAAAACCAATCTGCTGATTTTTGTTCTCTCGGAGGAAAAATCTTCCTGAAAAGCCACGTTTGAAACAATTGGG